AGGTTGTACATAAAACAGATAGCCAAAGGTATGTTTGTACTTGCAGCCTAGGGAATGCCTGCTAATTCTTAGTCCCAAGAAGGAAGTGGTGCAGCTTGCTTTATTTAAAACTCCTTGCAGTGTTTTCTGTACAATAGTTCATCTCTTCTGAGAATCTCAAATTTCAATCCATAATCTGTGACATTTCTCAGCAACTCAAAATAGTTGCTTTTCAGTCAGGCTGTAATTAATTAATGCTGTTTCACAAGATGTTTACTAAATCCTAAAACTAATGAGTGAGCATGTGATTGTTTGCACTTTCTGTGAACAGTTAAAAACTTTAAATCACATATACTAATTGTCTGATATTTACTATATTCATAAAGGAATTTTAATTTGCTCCCAACTCATCTTGTAGAACTGAAGAAACATTAAGCACTTTCAAATTAAGGGGATATTAAAGAGCTTTGTGTTTCTAATGCAACAATTCCACCCTTCCTGTCATATGTTATCCAAATTATATTATTCAAAATGTTATTAAATAAACTTTTTATAGATTAGGCCAAATCAAAAATAGTTTGCAATCAATAGCATATTGAACAGAATGACTGAGTTCAAACATCACACAAACCTTGATGTGGTTTATTTACATCATGTGAGAATCATTACATTTATGGTGTGAAGATTCAGATATCTGTTTAATAAACAGTTATTTAATAATTATCTATTTAATAAACCATAGTTAAATTGTGGCTTATTATTCTATGTGAATATGACGTTATTTTATTGAACTGTAAATAATGAAAACCACCTTTAATGTGAGGACATTAACATTTGTGTTAAATGTGCATGTTTATTTTTAAATTCCTATGAAAAGGAAAACATTTTAAGGACTATGTCATAAAGAAATCCACAGCCACACATCAGATACACCAACAGTACAATTTTTGCTTTGTAGTTTAAAAGAAAAGTATTTTCTTTTGGCAATTGAGTATTTTTTGTTACTTAGTAGCCATATGTGCTACAAATATTTCAAAAAAAGTATATATCCAACTATGTACTTTAATCAATGGGTGTTTAACACTTATATGTTAAAAATACTAACAAGTAGCAACACACACACACACACACACACACATTGCACTTTCATTTAATAGCAAATAGTGGAAAAATAGGATCTTTCAAAACTACTTTATTATAAGGTATGTTTAAATGAAAAAAAATCCTAATATCAAAAAAGATATGAACTATGCTTTAGAATTTTTTTAATTGAATTTTGAATCCTGATCATAAATAAAGGTCAAGAAATACTTTTCCAACATGTATAAAAATTTCAGCACTTAACAGGTAAGCCAAATATATTACTCAGAATTCGGGGAACCTGTTACTTCTCCAGTTATAAATCTTAAGATGACACAAGCCAAGTAGCCATGGGCAAATAATTTTTAGTTCCTTAACATATTGATCCAAAGAAGATGGTTTATCATATAATTTGTTGTGATGAAAAGTAAATAACAACAAAGAGCCTCTTTAAGATTACCTAACAGCTTTCTGAATTCCTTTTCAAACAACCTGCTCATGATACAAGATCTTCCAAGATCTCAAACTTAGAACAGTAGTTTTGCATGGTAGCACATCATGGCCCTATATTTTATACCTTTAACAATTCAAGAAGAACTGGTTAGCTATGAATGCTTAAACAGTTGCTACATTAAAAAAACTTTTAAGGTAATAATGGTTTGCCACATTTATAATACATCAAGAACTTGAGCTTTCCCAACCTCCTCCTTTATATCTATCCTTTCCTAGGTAATTAAGATGTTCAATAGTTCTAAAGAAGCTTCAAAGACTAACATAATTCAATATACTCAACTAGAAAAGTCAAGATAGTGCACAGATCAAACATATATACAATGTCAGACCACTTTTCTGCCATAACTTAGCCATGGATCCTAGGAACATATCTCTGCATATCTTGTATAATTTTAATTTTTGAAATCTGCTTTGGATTCCTGAACCTAAATACCTTGCACTCCAAATTTTGTCAACTTTTTAATTACTTTACTTCCTACTGTATATCAAGAAGCAATGTTTAGCCTCAGATGTTTTAATATAAGAAACACTGAACCTTCACTCGTACAAATACAGTTTCCTCCCCCACACACATCCGCAGTTGACACATACATACATACATACATACATACATACACACACACACACACACACACACACTGTTTGGACTAAGCAGAAAGGACAGCTTTCTGAAAAGCTGTACACTAGTTACAACTAAAACTGTTTCTTATTTCTCTTTCTAAATTTCAAAACACAATTTCAAATTATCAATAAACAGTGGTTAGTGAATATAATTATTCCAAGTCAGGTATCATTATACTATGACATATATAAATCACAATTGGAGCCACAACCAGGAACCAAAAGAAAACATACAAGCTTAGGGGAAACAAAAATGATACAGAAAAAGAAGGCAGACTCACTCTTAGCTATGGGACAATGACATAGCAATTGCAGTATGATGTCTAGACTAGGCCAAGGTTACCCTATTATATTTTATTTCATAAAGAACTAGGTTTTTAATCTGGTATTTTCCCGGAAGCACTTAATATTTGATTGGTGCAACAAAGTAAATAGCATATATTCTACTGGATAATTAAATACTTTATTATCTGCTGATAATATATCTATCATTCATCTTTTCTTCCTTTCTCCCAGATTCTTGCTGCCACTTTTGACCTATCTTAATGACTGACAAATGCCCCACCTTTTTGCTATCTAAATTTGAAACATTTTGCCTTTCTCCGATAGATCTACTGGATGTTGACCAGGTCTAACAAATCATCATTTATGATAAAAGTTCAAGAACTGTTACCCACTCTATAGCAAAAATAATTACTTATTTACTTAATCTTTACAAAAAGAACCCACTGAATTTAATTAGACTTACTATAAATACACGAGATTGCTGCTTTACACTGCTTCAAAATCTGATTTGCAAACGACTTTCCATTATTTTAAAAATATACTACATAGCAGTAGCAAGCATACTTCCCATTTTGGAAGCTGCAGCCTCTGTCTACTTTTGCTAAATCTTCCCCATTAGAGCTTTTCTCTAATCCTCATCAGTCATGGTGGCCAATGCCACATTTTGCAATCCGATTGCAGAGACTCCTTTCCAGGCCATTGAAAACTCTATAAACAATACACCTGAACAATCAATCCAAATAGGACCTTTTACATAGCAACCATTAACTAATTAGGTTCACTTTTGTCTTGTTCTCTCTTAATACATATTCCAAGTCTTAGCCACTCAACTTTTCTGTGCCTCAAAGGGTTCCCTAGATTTTGAAAATTCTGACAGCTCCTCTTCGTCCATCTGGGGCTGGCAGTTATATACTTGGAAGCACACATCCAGGCAATATAACCATTCAATATACAACATGTTTATTTATTTATCTATCAAATGTATAGTCATCCCTATAATCAAAGATATTCACACATACAAACTGATGGTGTAAGTCTTTATATTTCTATACATAGCCACAAACATTTGCAAATTATCCTTTTGAGCAAAAGGCTTACATGTTTGTATACAATCCAAATGGAATACTACAGCTAAACAGATGCATTCAAAGGGGAGGGGGACCCCTCTAACTTTTTTCCCTTGGGAGTTTTGTTCATGTTAACTAAAACCAAATGCCTCTAACAGCTCATTTGAGAATTCAGAAGCTCTGGGTAAACAGCGAGTGAGCTGGCTTTTTTTTAACCTTAACTGTGCCAGTTATCTACTTTGCAGACTCTGCCATACACTGCACCACATTAAACATTCCCAGAAAAAAATCCTAAATATCACGTTTTCATCTTTTTTTCCCACACATGAAGTCCTTTTCTATTAAAAGCCACACCATTTATCTGCACCCCAATCGATCAAAATACAATCCTTAGCCTTTGCGTAGATAAGTTAAGGCTCTCCAGAACTTGTGAACCTGGGCAAATCCCTCGGGATGCCAAATTATAGGGTTCTCCATATAAGGAAGTACAACTAAACATGTCACATGTTAATCTAAATGCGGTAGGCAATGTGTCAGCCTTTCCCAAAAAAAATGGGCTCCCGCTTTACAGCACACTTTATATATATATAAATATAATATAAATATATATATTTCCTCGTCTAACAAGGAAAAAAAAATTAGGGAGGAATCGCGCTTCTAATTTTTGCCCGGGGAGGTAAGGCGTCGGACTCGGAGGGGTGGCAGCAATATGGAGCGCTATGATACTCGAGGCCTGTCAAAGTCAAGTGTCCTACCCCGACAGCCAAGTGGAGCGGGCGTTGGGTCTAAAATAAGGGACACGCAGCACGCCAAGTTCAGGAGTAACATAAGCCCGAAACAAAGGTCAGTGAGGGAAGGGGGCCTTTTCGTACACCTGCTTAGCCTCAGCCTTTGGGCGCGAGTGTGTGTGTGTGTGTGTGTGTGTGTGTGTGTGTGTGTGTGTGTGTGTGTGTGTGTGTGTGTG